TATATATATATATATATATATATATATATATAAATAAGTATAACTTGTCTTTATTAGACTAGCAGCTGCCGATTTTCTACTTAAAGAGGGCCAATCAATGACATGGCTACTTGGTAACAAACTTATTACAGTAACAACAAGTGGTTGTAGCAATAAAGCAATGCGAAATGGACTTTGTGATAATTGTTGGGTTGTATGTAAACCTGGTCCTCAATCTCCTGAACATTCGAAAACATCTCAATCAACTTTAAGACGAGCATCGAGTACAGAGGTATTGTTAATATGTATTATTGATATTATTTACATAATTATTTTGCTATTAGTTACAAATTGTTCTAAAATATAAAATGATAATATATAATAGACAGCAAAAGAGGACAAATTGTCTAGGCAGTCTTCTGGAGGTCATGGGAGCTCTACTGCAAACACAGCTGCAAATTCTCCAACAGAAGAATCAAAGAAAGCATCGGAAGATTTAGATTTAACAAAAAAAGACCATTCTTCAGAAAAAATGGAAAAAGATCAAGCAGAATCATCAAAATTAGAACAAATACTTAATAGTGAGAAACAAGAAGAACATGTGCTCTGTGCGTGTTGGTGTCAGGGTTGGGCTGAGATATATGTACGTAGACCTACAGGTGATATGTCTTGGATAATGAGGATTCAGAACTCTATGCAATTTGAAACAAATGTAGACTTTCCTGTGTATGATATAATGGCTTTATATAGGCCAAATCAAGATTTGTTGCAAAAGCAGCAAGAATCTACATCAGAGTGTTCTGGAGATGAAGCAGAGGTAGTTTCAAAATATATTATTTAAAAATTATGTAAAAAAATGTACAATTCTTTCTCTCTTTCTATAGGACACTGCAGATAAAAGTATGGATCAAATACGATGTGATCATAATATTATGAAATCTGTGATATCTTCTGTATCATCAGGTCCAATCGCAATACCTGGTTCACCAGCTCGGCCGAGTCCTTCAAGGCAAAGTTCACGCGATAGTTTAGAGAGTTTAGAGGATGGTGAAGATGGTATGATTAAGCCTTATTATACTTTAATTGTCGTAATAAACAAATAATAAAATGGGTATATTAAAAAGTAAAAATTATTGGTAGATTTACGTCGTTCTCGAAATCCCGTACGCAGATCAAATTCTAGTCCTGAAATGAGTGCTAATTGGAAAAATCCATTCTTGAATAAAGAAAAACTAAGCAATTTGCAACAAGTAGACCGAGATCTTTTATCTACAGATATAGAAGTCAAACTTGATGCAGAACTAAAAAAACCTGCAAAAACTACATATGCAAAAGATATGAGGTATTATTTGTTTAACAAATAATAGTGTATTCTATTATTTTAATAGATTTTAATAATAACTTCATTAGCTTTGTAAATATAATAATAAAGATATATTTATGCAGAGTTAGTTGTGAAGCTATACCAGAAGAGATGTTTGGCATGGGTACAACACCTCCATCAGAAAATGCATCAGATCATCCGACTGCATTACGATCTCAACGTTCTTATCCAGGTGCAACACAAGTCACTCAAATTATTACGACTACTAGCAATACTGTTCCTCCATCACCTACTACCATACAGGTATAGTATTATTTTTTTAGCCTCTCGGGCATGAAAAGCCACTTCCAGTTTATGTATTCAAGTAAATAAAGTTTGCAATATGTCTTAATTACAAAAACCTTTCGTCTATTTTTACAGGTTCAAGGAAACTTTTTGGGAGTACAGGGACGCACAACACAAATTCAGTCATCTGTTGCAAAGCCTCCACAATCACCTACACAAATTTATCCTCGTTTATCTAGTCTTGACTCTGGTCAAAAACAAATGCCATTAGGATCAGATAGTAAACCACCTATTGGACGCAATCATTTAGCTGATAAGGTATCGTTGATTATATTTATTCTTAAATACTCTGTTTTAAAAGGACATATACACATATCTGTCTGTAGCAAAAGGATGAGAAACCTGATCCTTCTATGTTACCTCCTTTGCCATTACCTTTTCGTGATAGAGGTCATACAATTTCTGTAATGAGCCCCGTAAAAAAGTCCCGTGGAGAATGGGATAATATTCGTAGAGGAAACTCGCCACGAGTAAAAGAAACACCTAAAACTAGTATCAATCCGAGGTAATGATACAATACTTTTAAATACAAATATTCGGTAATTATCTTTGTGTTCTAATGTAAAATTTATATTTAAATTATAAATTACAGTTTTGTGTTTTTGCAACTGTATCATACAGCACATTTTGGTTCGCCTTCAGAAAAACCTTTATTGGTTCCACAGACAACGGCTGTACAAAGAGCAGTGACAAATTTAGATAGAATACAACCATATGAAACCCATAAAATTGGGGTTCTTTATGTTGGTCCAGGGCAAGCTTCTAATGAAACTGAAATTTTAGCTAATCAACATGGATCACTTCGATATACAGAATTTTTACAACGATTAGGAACGTTAGTCCGATTGAAGGACGTTGATGAAAGTGTGTTTTTGGGAGGTTTAGATCGTAATGGTGAAAACGGAAACTTTGCATATATTTGGCAAGACGATGTTACACAGGTTGAAATAAATTTCTATAATTTTTGTTATTTTATATTTTTGATAATGTAATTTTATATAATTTTATCAGGTGGCATTTCATGTTGCTACGTTGATGCCAACAAAATTAAGTGATCCGAAATGTACATCTAAAAAACAACATATTGGAAATAATTATGTTACTGTTGTTTATAATGAATCTGGAGAACCATATAATATACAAACTGTAAAGGTATGTTTTATTATAGTATCTCATTGTAAAGTATGATATGTACTAATATTTGTGTTGCTTTCTTAGGGACAGTTCAATTATGCATGTGTTGTAATTCAGCCCCTAGATCATGGTACTAATCAAGTTACAGTTCAAGTAAAAGAAGAATTAGTTAAACATATTCGACACAGTGAACCAAAAATTATTTCTGATCAAAATTTAGCTATTTTATCTCGACAGTTAGCTCTTCATGCCAATGTAAGTTTTATAAAAAAATATACTAATTGTAATTATATTGTACTATTCGTATACTATTCAATGTCTTTCCGATATATAAAAAAAATTAAATCAACATTAGTTTAATACCGTATTTGTTTTATTATAGCTTTCTCTTAAATTATATTACAATGAAATTTATAGTTTCTCTTCTCTGTCCTAGCTTGCTTCAATGGTTTCATCATCATTGGAACAAAATAGTCACAATCCATATGCTTCTAACTGGTTAGAACGTTTACGACATATTAAACGACTTAGGAATCGTGTGTTGCAAGAAACAAACAATAATCCAGATAGAACAACTGATGATTTATCACCAAGATCGAACAAACGTATTTATATGGATGATTTTACTGAGTATACAACATGATTTGATTTTAATAAAGAAGTTATTTAATAATTATAATTAATATGATTCATGTTTGTTAATGCGATAATTAAGTATTCTTTCTGTAAACTACAAAGAAGATAATTATTCTAAGTACAAATATTTCTCATATTTTATATTCAAATTTCAGTTAATTCATTAACATAAATTTTTAATTTTGTGATAAATAAAAGAACGAGTATGTAATATTATTCTAATATAATTATGTATTGTTATTTTAATATTCAATATAAAATAATACTATCTATTTAATGTATTTCGTTCTTCAAGATTATAAATAAATTCGACAAAATCGGTTTCAAACAAATCGTTAGGAAAAATTCACAATTTTAGAAAATACATTTATATTAGTAAAAATGAATTTTATATTTAAAAATAATAAAAATATCCGCTTGATATTATGAATATTTATTTCATATTGATTGGTAGAAATTTGCCGTAGAGGTTATATTTTATTTTGTAAGTTGGTAATACAAACAGCGCTTAAACCACGATCATATAAACAGATCTCTCGATATCCATACACTATACCCCAAGCCTAGGGAATATTCTAAAATTGAATCATGAAAAATTAATATGGAAGACAGGAAGGTTCTCGTTCTATACATGCGTGAGGTGCCATAAATGTCTCAAATAGGGACAGAGATACTCTACTCATCTCTGTCTATCTCGCAGAACGAGAACTTTGTTGTCTTCCATGTTGACTTTTCACAACTCAAAAGAGGGGTGGTTTTCCCTAGCGAGTGTCTAGATATGATCGTAGTTCAGACTCTAGACCTGTTTATATGACCGTCGCAGCTTAACTATAAAGAAGTTCACGTGAGAACTACGTACAAAATCGTTGACAGATATAAGCGCCTCTGCCCACATAATTAAGAAACTCACGGGTCGATTTTCCGTGCATCAACATCCTTATAGTACTGTCAGTCTCGTTTGGTCCTGTCAGCTGGTGAAGAAGGGGAGACTAGAACGATAAAAATGGTAAATGTATTTTCAATTACTGAGACTACAATTATTTGGACATATGTTATGTTTTTTTTATATTGATAGTTTATTGACTTTTTAGTCGTTCGCTGAGAAAATATCGTCGATTATGCAAAGACCAGGACAGGACCCTGTTGCCAAGGACGATGTACCTTGGTGGATGAAGTATGCTGGACGAGGACTCGGCACCGTGGGTAGTATAAGTATGTTTTGTAACATAACATGTATTGTGAGATATACATCATTAATGGAATTAATTGTGAGATATACATCATTAGTGGAATTAACTTACTGTCATTACTTTCTTTTACAGTAAACTTCTTATATTTTTTAGAATTTACATAAAAATGTATATAATAATTCATGTTTTATATAGACATATACAGTATTAACATACAATATGCATTTATGGTTTGTGATTTTTCTATACTTACAACTAATTATATAGAACTTAGACATCTTAAATCATCTATTGTTATCACTATAAACATTTTTATTACTTATCTTTATATTATGGACACAATAGCTATTTATGATTTTTGTGAATTTGTTATAGTTGCAATTATTCTTGGAGGATGGAATTGTTTATCAATTCTGATGGGTTCGGTAGATTGCCTAATAAGTGGTATGTGGCAAATGGTGGCTGGTTTTATAGTTGCAACAATAGAAGCACCATGTTGCTGTCTATTTATTGATTATGTACAAAACTTAAGTGATTGGGTGGAAAAGAGACCATATTGGAATAGAGCAGCTGGATATTGTATGTAAGTTTAAATTATATTTTTAATGAAATATTTAAGTTATAAATCTATATTTTTTTCTCTAGTGATGTGCATAGATAATTAAATGAGAATGCATCGTAATAGAGAAAATTTTTAACCGAGTTTCTTTTATGGCTGGGAGATAGAAAATTAACTATGTTATTGTTATATTGTTTTTCTTTCCTTTAATATTAATTTATATTGCTACTGTTTAGACATAATGTATTGTTTTATTTTTAGAATGGCAATTCCTTCAGTCCTCCTTTGTTTTGGAATGAGTAGCTTATTTGGCAGTGGTCTAATATTTGCGACAGGTGTAATATATGGACTAATGTCACTTGGGCGAAAGTAAGTTACATCTGTTTAATTTATTATTTTAGGAGATATATCATTCATATTAAAATTACATATATCATACAGATACACTTGTATAGGTATAAACAATTTATACTAATAAGTATATTGCTTTGTTTCAATTCTAAAAAATTAGTATAATTTCTTATACGATTATTTTATTCAGTTAAGGAAATAAATTGTATGGTGTGTTGTTATCATGTGTGCACATGTTATTTGCTTGTGGGTGGAAGACTAATTTTGTTACATTATCTCATATTTGTTTATATTTATGTTTGAATTTGTTGCTATGGTTTTTGGGTACTTTTTATAATACATAAATTAACTAACATAATTTCCATTTCATATTATGAAGTTCCATAAAGTATATATCATTCATACAAAGCAACACAAAATGTATCATTTTCCTTTTATTTAACATACGTTACAAGCTATGTACTATTAAAATATAATAGTAAAGTATATAATATTTGTCGTATGTAATACTTAATTTTTCGTTACTAATACACTAATCATAACAGAGGAACCAGGCCCGACCCAGCAGGAATGACGTCGGGTGTGAGTTCCCCACAGGGTACTGTACCTCCTACTACAGATCACCATACAACTCTCGTGGAAGATCCTGATGTCTGGAGGCCTACATAAATCATCAAACATTCATTGCACCACTTCTCTAACCAGGCAATAATAAATAAAATTTAATGTCATTTTTACACTTGTAGTTTTCTAGATACCACATTTTTAGATACCACATTACATTTTTAGATTTATGGCTAGATTTTAATGTTATAATTATGATTAATATATTTGACAATATGAGTTTAATTTATCTAATACATTACAATGAAATTGCCATTTCTGTGTGCAATGGTTTTTTCGCTAATTTACTTGAAAAAATTGAATTATTTGATTTAATAATACATATATTATTTTTATTCTATGTAAGTTAAAACTCATAAATTAATTATGCTGCAATGAAAGGCTTATATGTGTGTATGCTTAAGCTTAAGAATATTAGTTCATAATTTTAAACAATTATTTACCTATACACAAACGTTCTTTTAATACTACGAAAATAACACACATAGCTTTGGAAAATACATATTTAGCTTTGGATTTCTTGCATTGGAAACACATGTTTGCTTTGTTCTTATATTTTTGAGATATAGTGTATCACTTATATTAATGAGTTGCATGATATTGCTAGCTTCTTTTACCTATAATTTTATATACATTTGGATTTCAGCACATTATTTTCAATTTTAAATACCATCCCTTAATACTTCTTTGTTAAATACTATTCTTTAAGAATAGTATAGGTTCTTTTTAGATATAATTATAAAATGTTTAAAATAATATTGAAATTTTTGCTATAACGTAAAATTTTATATTATTAAAGCGTCTTTATAGGTATGTGTTCTATAATACAAAATTTATATTTTGTATATACATATAACGACAGTAATAAATAATAATTAAATAAATAAATTAATAATTTATGAATTTTTAGGGCACCACTTCGTGAAATGAGATCAGCAGCGACGAATATCGAGGTTCCTTCATCAAGTATGCAAGCTACACTTGTTGAAAATGCTCAACCAATGAGTTTTACCAATAGACCAGATAGTAATGTTTAAATTCACAACATTAATTGGCAAAAGAATTCATTTTCTGGTATGAATGGTGATGAATGTTGACTTGGTAAAATATTCAATAATTGAGCCTATGAATATGCATTGTTTGAAGCACTTATTATTTAGTCCTACTAATATTCTAATATTTTATCATCTTCAATTTATGATACTGTAAATTGCTTATATTATTTGCGCTGACATATAGGTGAAGTAGTTAGGTCATTTTTTCCTTTTCATACATAATTTTTAATTTAGTTTCAGTTGTGGACTTCGATATCAATAGAGCATTAGTGATATTAACACATTATTTACTAAACCATTATTATATATATAAAAGTTACATTATTTCAGTTTTTTATTTGAAATAATGCCAAAGTTAAAGACTGCTATAGAAATTATATTCTGTTAGTATTCATAGGCTTGATTTCTTGTGCTCCTACTTGTCTATTGTGTGTCATAATGTTCATAAAGAATGAAATTGGTGAGAAAAAAATAATCTTACGTTAGTTGATTTTGGATGTAGTTATCTATTTAAATTTTACATTTTAAATTGATGAAGTGTAATATTTTGAACTAAAATAACACTTCCAAAATCAAAATATCCTAAGACTTTAAGACGAATCATTCATAAGTTATAGAAGGTGGACGAGTCATAACTAGCTTTATTTTCATTTATTCATGTATTGTATACATATATATGTGGGATAAGTTATATAGTTAGAACAATCCTCCATTTGTTTATTATTTAGGATAAAAAATTAATCTATAAATTATGAATTGATCTAAATCCAATAATATTGCACTTCATTTTTTCTAGAAAAACAGCATTATATATATATTTTATATGAGTCAATCTTTTATTTTGTGAATGAAATTTGCAATATTTTGCAAAAAAGATTATTTTGGATAGATTTTTCTTCAAAATTGATATTTGATGGATGCAAGAATTAATTTATATAAAAAATTAAATATATATGTAATTTAAAAAGAAAGACATTGTTCGACTTCGGTGTATTATTACATTTAACATGAAAAAGAGGAAACAAAAAGATAGATTATGTAACTTTTCTTTTTATTATTTTATCCTACCTTGAATAAAGAAAATATATATGGAAATATAAGTATATGGATTACTTCGTTTATTTTTTCTGCGAAATTATTTGTACATATACATGTATACATACATACATTTGAATTTACTTCGTAATCGTTTCATTCGATATTTATATTTATATATATATGGTATCTACTCCCATATAATATTCTTGATTCCAAAACTTCCAAACATAATTTTTTGTACCTTCTATATTTTTGTAGCTAAATCTGAATGATATATGGCAGAGACTATTACTGATCAGATGTACTAGTATATTTTAGTGTGTATAATGTAGTTTTTGTTCAAAATTACAAAATTGTAAATATATAATATTCTGATTATTTCGATAATGTTTATATCAGATTTTACTCTATTCAAAATTGTTTTAATCAGAATCAGATGTATCAATGACTTCCTCATTTTTATAGACATTTTGAACTTCTTTCCCTCTTCAATCCATATCATGTATTTTTAATCAAATAAGCATTTATTTCTTAATCGAAACTGTCAAATTACTCGACCATTATCTCTCCCTACATTCCCATTTTTTAATTAATTTATTTATTAAGTATACAAGACTCTAGAAATATTTAACCAGGTACCGATTTTTTAAATCTTTGATGATTTTAGTGTTGCGTTTGCCAAATAAATTCAGTTTAAATCCACTTCTAGACGTATGTAAATTATTGTATTTATATAGTGCGTATTATAAAGTTATTGTTTATTGTGATTTCCGTTTATTGTGATTGTTTATAATTAAGTACACTTTTAGTAATTTATGTTCATATATGATAAATAATATACTATATCATACGCAATGTTAATTAGCATGCATTAAAAGAAATAGGAGCATATTATGTAACTTGATTATATCACATGTAATTTCTGTACTCAATCTGAATCGAATATTTCCGATTTTCATATTTTATCATTTATGATTTATTTTAAGATTACAAAATGCTTCTTTTAAATTTAAATTACGTATTTTAAAAAATATAATAAAATCAGGGTATACTTACCTTGATAACATCATTAGTGTCAAATATTTTTATGTAATGTTTAATAGGAAAAAAATGATATAAAGGATGTATGATATTAGTGAGAGATTAAATTAGAAGCAAATATTCGGCGCTAACTAATTTTATTTTACTTCCATTGCATAAATTTTGAAGAATATTTAGCGTTTACACAATGAGAGACGATACTTGAGCAAATTCAACATGAAGAAAATAATATAAAAAGGAAAAAAAATGTTAAAATAAATTATCAGATGAATAATGTATAAAATATACGATAAGTTACATGAGGCATTTTATTGTTGTTACTGGTAGGACAGGAATATATTTATAATAATTTTCTGTCATAAGGAAATGTGTTCAAAAGTATATGTCGCATGCGTATTTGACCAACTATTATTGAAAAGGATTAAACATTTATAGTAACATACATTACTTGCTATATAGGTTAGTGGATTATGAATAAATTTTAAGAATACATACTGTCTTCGAAATATACCAAAATATACATATGTAGATATTCAACTTCCATTAAATGGAAACCCAAATGAAATATTTATAATGCTTAATGCACTATCACGATTTCAAGCCAATATGATATGTATACACGGAAGAAAATAGACTTATTTTAAACATATGTCTATTTAATTAAAAATATCCTGTTATAAATATGTTTAATTTTGGGAGTAGAAATTTATAAATAAAAGGTTCGGATATACACCGCTATGTATGTATTACATTAATAATTACATGAATAAATTAATAAGCTTCGTTACATACATGTATAGTAAAATTGTCAATAAATATTAAAATTACATTAAAAGTATTATATTTGAATAATTTTAACTAAAGTGGTAAAATTTATTATAACTAAGCCTTTTAAATTTCATTTTTATAATTTTTTTCTTTCGACAGTATTACTTATGTATTATATTTTACATGATTCTTTTTTTAAAAATCGCGTTATTTATTTTAGTAAGTAAATTGTAAGTAAATTGTCAACCAATCATAAAGAAGGATTTGATATGACCAATGCAAGTATTCAAAAAATTTCGTAAGTTATTCGTTCTTTATACATTTTGTTCAAACGTGCGGAAATTCATATTATTTTATAAACGTACGATTAAATAAATTTTTTATTATTCAAGAGATTTAATTCATACAGTGTTTCTTTATGAAATAGATAAATGATGATGTAGAGTAAAATTCGCACTCAATTTAGTTTAGTTAGTTTAGTTATGGTACGTGGAATAAATAATACGATAACGATATTGTGTAAAATTTCAGTGCATTTGTTTATTATCTTAATATTTGTCTAAAAAAACATCGATATATATATATATATATAAATAATCTAAATAATATAGAACATTATACAACTTTTATATTTTTATACTTTATTGCTGAAAAAAAGACAATTACATTGTTATTTATAAAATATTATCATATTAATTTAATATCAATTAAAAATTACAACTCATATGTATAGAAACGAATGCTGAATGTGAGTGTTTGTAGTACGAATCGATGTGCTTTGTCTCGAAAAAATTCCAATAAAATCAAATCGTAAAGGTAAGGCAAAACATAAAAATCTGTTTCATATAATAAATAATATAAATTATAATTTAAATATTCTGAATAGAAGATGATTTTAACGTTAATCTATATTGATTTATACAATTTATATAAATCCGCCTGCGGACTCAGTTGTATATTATATGAAACTTTGCTTAGATTTATATGTATATTTATAAATTATGTTATTTAATTGTAAGGTTTTTACAATGCATTTAATTGCACGGTATGTTACAGCAATGATATTTTATCCGACAATTTTTAAATAAAATTTGATAAAGCTATAAGTTCAAGACATTAAGTAATTTCTATTTTTCGTACTATTGTTCTTATGATATTGTTTTTTACAGGATGTTCCACAAGTTTTTGTACAAACATTGCTGGTGTCTTGGATTCTAAATTTTCAATGAAAATAAGAGGAAAAGAAGAAGGATGCATTTGAGTTGTGTCCTGTAAGTACGTTTATGATCACTATCTGTGATACGATTAACTAATGAAACGAAATAAACATATACTATACATGATATTTTTTATCTATAGTGATCTGTTAAACTCGTGAAAGAAGTGTGTTGAATACCTCACGGGACACCAGCATCGATGTAAGTATTTCTAAATTTATCCTAAAGAGTTGTGGTTAACTACAACTGTTTCAATATACATATGAATCTTTTCGAAATGTTTTTTGTACTTCGTGTAGAAAACAGTTTGTCACCTGATTTAAGTAGATCTACTTTCTGCATGCATTTAAAAAGTCATTGTTTATTTACAGTTATTTTTCATATCAAAATTTGTCACGATTTGTCATATCATATTTCTGTATACATACTTTTTAATTGCATTACCTTACGTATTTACTACCTGCATAATTTTTTAATATTTGGACCAATATCTCTATATCATAATTCGTAACGCAAATACTTTAAAACGCACGCATAAAAGAAGATTTTACTTTAATAAGGCCAATAAGCACATTTTTAGTGAGGTATCTAATGTTTTATTACGTGTAATGTATAAATCCCTGTGATATGAAATATTAGAATGTAAAAACTAGACTATTTAATTATTTATTTAATAATCAGGAGTGATTTGAAGATTTTAGTTTTATTCTTTTATGAAAGAAAATAATTTCAATAATGAAGAACAATTTAAAATTGCTTCATTCATTTTTTTTTGTACGTATTCCAGTCTCGTACATAAATCAGTCCAATATTATACAGGGTGGTTGGTAACTGATGGTACAAGCGGAAAGGGGGTGATTCTACGTGAAAAAAGAAGTCGAAAATATAGAATAAAAATTTTTTGTTCGAGGCTTTGTTTTCGAGAAAATCGACTTTGAAATCGGTACGCGTGCACTTTATCGCGTCTCGTTATAACGGATCTTACTGTAGATCGTTGTCTCGATGGAACAATTAAAAAAAAAAAAAAGAAATTTATTCTATATTTTCGACTTCTTTTTTCGCGTAGAATCACCCATTTTTCGCGTGTACCATCAGTTACCAACCACCCTGTATAAATGAAACGAAAAAAATGATTGATTTTTCATTGAGACATTTTCCATTTATGTAGAATACGACTGAAAGTATATAGAAGGAAAATGAATTAATATAGAACAGAAATTCGCGTAAATAAATAATGGTAAATAATAATGTTAAAGAAATTTTATTTGTAAATATTAGACATGGAAATAAATTATCAAGAAATAATTAAAGAAGCTATTCAAACTAGGTGAAAAAAACGATTATTTTAATATTTTATTAGAATATACAATTATTAAATGTTCTTTAATTAGACTTAACTTATTGATATCTTATCGTGCTTAGTATGAGTACCGTTTAGAGTAATAGAAACACGGATAATATTCCATTCAAAAGTCCGAAACTAAATTCTTTTTCTACGTAATATGTGCTTGTATCAAGAGCCATTTAATTTCTTTTGATAAGAGTTCAACGTACCAGCTACTGATTCGTAGTTATTAAATTTGCATAATTTGGTTCAATTTTCATTAGAGTTAAATTTTCATTTACACTCTTGAAATATCTGTTTTCTAGAGTTCCATAAAAAATCTTATTTTTATAATAGCGTTTTATTAGAAACGAACGATATTAAATACTTTACTTCGTTATCAGTCTCGCTTGATGTAAGTACTTACTGTCTGTAACGTTCAGGTAAAAAAGAATAAGAAAAACAAGAAAGAAAAACATACGTATTTCATATTACACTTAAACGTATCGTATACAACTATTTAGTCTCGAAACCTCGATATTTGAATACGAGTATCTTAGTCTATATGTATACATTTGCGTATCTAATTTTGCGTTTGGCTTTCCTCTTAAATTCATCGTTTAATCCTATGTAAGTCGTAATGGTCTTAAGGCACGATGCGAATGTATTATTACGTAAGTGGGCTGTTCCCGGATTTTCCCGACAAACTGGGATTATTGAAAATAAGTAAAAAATATAGTACGAAATTGAGTTAAAACTGTTTTGTTGGAAAATTATAACTTCATATTGAACACAACATGAATCAAGCAACGATTTTTCATTGCTATTTTACATTATGTTTTTCTGTTTTAAAACGATCCCGCTTAATGGACTCTTAATTAGCGAGTTCTGAATTTCGTTTAAAGACTCTTGTAATGTAATGTTTACACATTTATTGAAACTTATCTATGGCATTGAAATCTTTCTTCTATCATGGCGAAGCGTTCATAAACAAAAACTTCATATAATAACTTCTTCTTATCTTCTCTAGTAAATTATACTTTTCCAGTTTATCAGGTAACGCCGAAAAATCTTCATATAGTATTATTATAATACGTATAGTATACTGCTTATATATGTATGTATGTTTTATCAGAGAGGAACTTCGAATGTTCGTTTAATTTCGTGATCATTAACGTGATCGATTAAATTTATAAAAAGATAGAACAATATTAAAAATATTCTTTTCTCCTTTTTAATTTTTCGTTCGAACGACGATCTTACACGTGTTTTTAACTACATGTGTAAATTCTGTTGGTAACCTTCGACCTCGTTGTACATCTTCCTCACTGCATCTTTGGTGTTGTTCGGCAAATAATTTTGTACTGCCGGTGCAACTTTGTTATTACTTGATATAATTCCGTTGGCCAGATGTGCAACACCATTTTGCAACATGTGTGCGGTACCATTCGCAATACCGTTTTGCATACGAGCAGCACCGTTTTTTTGAACCTGTCTGGCGTTATTCTTTAATCCATTTGCGATTCGTACTGCACCTGTCAGTGGAAATTTTGATTAAATCTTATTCTTGCCCTTTGTTTTTAGTAATTATGTTCCATTAAAATTTAACTTATTTATTATCAAACTGCGAATGTTTCTATAACTTCATATTTTTGTAAACGTAATTAAAAATGGAATTAAATATTATATAAACGTATAAACATTTGCAGTGTATATATTATACATATGTACTTAGGTATAAGTAAAGTAAAATAAGAGAGAGAGAGAGAAAGAGAGAGAATATTGGTTACCCTGTATGCTGCGTATTCCATTCATATTTTTCGTAGCATTAACTGCTTGCTCGCCATTTAATTTACCATCGGTCATCTGCTTAGAAACACCGTTTGATATGATCGATTGATCCCTATTATTAAGAACAACTGTATTTAATTTCTCATTGTTTCCATTTTCTTGTACCATCTGTGGTTCAGGATTATGCAGATCATTCTCTTCTTTGCGACGCGTTTGCGTCATTAATTGATAAAGTGCGGCCGCGAATTCTTGTTGCACGCTTGGTACGTCCGTGTCGCCATCAATCTGTATTGAAAACGATTTCACATTTTAGTATTACTACACTCGTACTATCTTGATTAATTTAATATTAATTTTATATAAAATTATATTTCTTTATACCTATCTAATACCAAATTTTTATTGTATTATTGGTATTGTAGTATTATATTGTCTGAATCACAAGAGAGGAAGAATTTCGGATTACACTTACAATCGTTAAGCGATTTTCGTTGTCCAGGGTTTTTAACATAGGTAAAGATACTTCGCGAAAGAGTTCCAGCCTCTTTCTAAATGCAGATACGTTATCATCTATCCTTCCTCTGCCAAGTTGTAGTTTCGAGCAGTCTAATAATACTAACGGTGGCTGCTGGCCAAACTAAAAAGTTGAGAAATAATATTGGATATGTTCGTTAAACTTGGATAACATTGTAAAAACATGAGAAAAGATCTATTGTGTACACCGTTGTGCATTTATTATCAAACTGTATGTATATATGGGCCATTGTAAATTACCTTATTCTCAAATTCTTGCACTTGATTCAAGTCCCTCGGATAGCCATCTATTACTATGCCATCCGTGTCGCGATTTAGCATAATCTGCTGCTCTACTACTTGCATGACGATGTCTTGTGGCACCGTTTCTCCAGAGACGATAGCATCGTTGACAATAGTATTTGACGATGCCATCGCTCTAAGCAAACCACCGATGCTAACTTGGACCCAGCCTGGCATATTGCGAACAGCCTGAGTGCATAAATTTTCTTTGTTGCTTCCTGGGCCACCTAGTAAAATAAAAATACCAATCTTAAGTGCTTGTAACGTTTTATTAAATTTCTTCGATCTAATTCGTTTGTTAACGTAGCTCTGATATAATTAGTTTTAGTAAGTTTTTATTTTCAAGCTCTATATGCCTATGCTCCTGGAACCTTTATGCTCAAATCTTACGTGTTCAAACAAGTAGAAAGAAATCACGCATACCAAAAAACCATTCTTTCATTTGACCGATTAAATTAACAACAATTTGGCAAACTTAAGAAATTTGTTAAGGCTAAAAAAATATTACGATTGGATTTAGAATAATTCAAGGAACAATTTTGTAAGGTGTATTTTTTCTTACCTATAACCCAGATGAACGCGGGTAATCCTTTTCTAGACTTGATCGCGGTTTTTACGGGTTTCACATTCACCTCGACAGGTATTTGCGTTAGCTGAGCCAACACTTCTTCCATAGGAGATGATGATTTTGGAATAGATTCTTTCCTCCTCTCGACTTCTACCTGTAATTTCAATATTCTACGTTGGACAGCTTGAATATTAACATTTTCACAGACGAATTTATCAAGCGTTTAGCAAAAGAGATCGTAAGCCGAAGAATAAATATATATCACCGGTTCGAAACATGGAAACTTACTTCTGTTTTTAACGGTTGAGAAGCATTTTTTCCTTGTATTTCATCGTTTGACAAGCCGAGAATTTTGAAAACCGCTTCACGAAAATCGACGTAAACCTCGCTCGGATTTCTTTCTCCGTTTATCTGTAATTACCATAAGCGATAATTAGACAATGCTTTAACGATTATCACGCGTTCAGGAAATGAGATCAGCATCAAGTTTCAAAAAATATGTAGAAATATTCGCTTGCTTACCTCTAGCAACATTCCACTTTGATCGAAATATTCTGCGACGGGCATAACGTTTCTATAAAAATTATAAAGTTCCATTCTTGCTAGCTCGATCACTACTTGTCCAAGTTGTGCACCAAAATCGATTTGTCTTTCGAGAATCTCCTGTCTCCAGGACACGAGAATCACGCCGTTTACAATTTTAATCTGTAAATGTAGCAATTATTTTTGGACCGCTTTATAACACAAAGGATCGTTTTTCCTTTCTTAATGTAACAGTTTTAACGAAGTGTCGCAAAAGCTGTTCTATAAAACTTATGACGCGATTAATTGTAACATTCAAACATGATTCTCAAAGGAAATCGATTTCTTTTCTACAAACGGGAGTTCAGAAATATTATGAAAGGATCAATCGAAGAGAATGTCCTAATTTGGTGATCGATTTTTGTCCTTTATCTGCTTCGTGCATGCTTCAATATATGTTTTGTTTACATATCTCATTTAAGAATTTGATCCGGATTATTCTTCTCTGTCGTTAGAAGAGGCGTTTTCGAATCAAAATATATCTATATAAAAATACTTACTTTTTCAGCATATTCTACTACGTCGCGCATATTACGTGGATAACCACTAACAAGAAAGACTTTAGAACCTGGAGACATCTTGATTTCCAGCATAAGAACCTCCGCAACTGTTTTACTGCTAAGTTGTCCGAAATCTTGCATATCTATCGTAAAAATAATATATCAACAAATAGGATATTTATATATAGGATATAATAAATAAAAAATATTAATATAATAATATATTAATATTCTCAAAATTCTGTTTTCATCTATCTTACGGGCTTTCATTAGCAATAAAATCATTATAACAATATATTCATTATCAATTTTATTTAGTAATTGTTACATCACTAATATTTATTAATTTATGTGTATAGTAATTATCCGTAATTTCTCACTTAATGATCCATTTTACAAATAACGTGTCTCCATACCATTTCCAAGAGCGTATTGTTGAAGGAGATCCATCATATTGATATGCGTTATACCCTTTTTCTCTTGCATCAAATTATCACAATGTGTCACCTTTCCACTACCAGGTCCACCTAAAGATCGAAAGTTGTATCATGATATAGAAAGAATGATAAAACACCATTTCGCAGTATAGATAAATATGGTATTTTGCTCGAATAACAGCTAAAACGCTGATAGCATTTTACGATAATAATCAAATTAACAGAAACTTTCTTATGTCAAAATTTGTTAAAACGTAAAAAAAATTTTTTACATTAAACTTTGCATTAAAAAGAGTCGTCCTAATCCGAAAGTTAATTCAGATTCTTATTTTTAACTTCATCCGAGAATTATGTACGCAAGGCGCGAGAAAGCAATTCAAATACTTTGCTCTTATTTTTCAACTGAATCGTATATGATACGAACCAAGCACAAATATGACAGGCACTTTTGGAACTTCGAATTTAACTGCACCAACGTTCTGTTGTGGAAAATATCCGCTTGGGGGTGTTGACAAGAGGCCAGCCTCTCCTCGCCATTTCCCCGCGCTTCGAGCATCAGCTTCCTCGAACACCTGCGATCCATTTTGTTGATCTGCGACCAAATTTTTCGTTAAATAACTTGAAGTCGATCGTTAAACTAGATTATTATCGGTTGAAATTATAAACTAAGTACTATAAGTTTGGAGAATGATCGGTTTATTCGTTAGCCGTTTTGATGTTCAATTAAAACTTTTTAGTAACCTTTTGTATTGGGTTGGCAACTAAGTATTGCGGATTTTATCATTAGGTGGTAATGACAAAATCCGCAATCATTTAGTTGCCAACCTAATACAACGATTGCTTATTGCAAAAGCAATTTTCATAGATTCCGATCAATTTTAATGTCAATTTAAATCTTCCTTCTGTTCTTTACACTTTTCTTTGTTAATTACCTGTTAACCTTACGTTAACTGTAATATTATTTTGCAAAATGTATTATATTTAGCAAGTGATGACATACTGTGAAGAACATGCTCTTACAAAAATTATCTGTCTACACGATGTCGTAACGTTCAATTTTTACATTGCATGTGCTACGTAATATTGCGTGGCAATTTATAACATCACGTGCAGCTGCGCTTATGTACATTTAATTTAAATATTAACGATTACAAAGCAATGTCTTCATTAGGTTAAAAGGTCTCCAGCACCTATTTGTCTCTTCCTTTTATGAAATTTCCTTTATCTCTTGGTTTCCGCTTCGGAAGAAAACGAACGAGTATAATGATCGTATACATGTTAACCACTCTTGTTTTCTTTATATTTTTCGAAAATCTTTTCTAATTTTAGTAATTTATCAGGCACCATTGGGATTCTTTTCATTCAAACGCAAACACTGCTAGGATCTTAGTTGATAAACGAAATAAAAATGTATCAGCGAGTAAAAATATAGGTATAATAATTAAACAGAAATATATTAAAGAGAGATTCTAATAGAAAAATGTTAAATACGATAATTTTTTTAGCAATTTTTAAACTTTATTTAATGAACGATGAAAGTATGAAAATTGTTATTAACGATTGTGATATGAAAACAATTTTTCCTTTCTTAAATACCAATATTTTATAATATCTGATCTTAGCTAAAGTTTTGTATGTTACTACATTACTATTGTACAGTGTTTGATTTATTCATAAATGTTTTAACTCGATCACATAGACACAGATCGTACACGATATACATATATGCTTGTACATATAGAATGAATTATTCATATATGAGTTTATACTTCTATTAATTATTAACGTACATGTATAGAAATTTCAATAGCTTAACGAAGAACTGCCAGTCTAATTCCAGAAAAGATATATACATAGTTCAAACTTGTTATTAAACGTATATGATTATAAAAACTACAAGAAATGAATTGTTCAGACAGAGATTTATTTTGACAAACGATAGATATGATTTTACTTAACAAAAAATATTTCATCGTTAAACAAAATTATGTGAAATAAATATTCAGTAGCTTTATTTTTTTTTAATTAAATATTTTAATCAAATTTTGCAATCTTTAATCGTTAAATTAAATACACCACCGTGGAATAATATATAATGTTATTAATTATTCAATCATTCAAAGAGGAAACTATGTGATAGTAACCGTCAAAACAGAATGAGATCGAGGAACGATCTCTAATCTTTTTAATTCTTCAATTTGATCGGTCAATAAAAAATCCGAAAAATAAAAAATCATCGCCGCGATTGCCGTCACGTTTGCGCGACTAATTTTCCGCGTAATTTTGCACTAATTTGCCGTTTTTCCAGTTAAAAATGGGAATCGCGTTCCGCGTGAACTGCTTCGTAGAAATCCACGCTATTCTAAAATGTAACGACAAATTGGCGCGACGGTGACGCTGTGGCTAATCGCACGTCTCCACCGTGCCTGTAGGCATCGTAGCTTTTGGTATATACGTATAATCTCTATGTATACGTATAAGATCTATGAAACTGGAAACATTTGCACATTCTTGTATGCAATCGAAATCATTTGAACGCCTTTACGTTAACTGTGAAATTTATCATGACCGAACACCGTGTCACAGTGTAACGTTACTTCCACGATATCGATTAAACTGTATACGTAAACTGTGTATAAACTGTGTTCTTGCGGTCTCCTTTCGATTGTAGAGAAACAGGTCTAACGTTGAAGCATCTACGTGTCCATAAAGGAAAGAAACACACGTTACTGCTGTACACGTGGAACGATGTGTTTCTGTGAAAAAGGTGGCCACACGTAATGATCGGAGATCATACATTAAAAATTATGTTCAAGACTATAAGATTTTAATGAAGCGGATTCGCACGATTACATAGTTGTCTTCAGTAAACATTTTAATTCATTTTGCAGTAAGTGTAATTTGATGATGATATTTTAAAGTATGTTTTAACGTATCAATTTTCGTATACGGGGATGTGTATTTCAATAAATTATACTGAGTTTAATCTTATAGTAATCGTAATGTTATATTCAGGTAATTTTGTTATTATTTTCAATGATAATTAGTAGCAGCCGGTACTGTATCAAATAATATACGCGATAAAAGAACGATATCTTACCGTTGCTTCAACGTTTACAATCTTTGTGATAAGAATCGCTAATAAAAGGCCAATCGTAATAACTGGCAACGTCCTTTCACGGTACTTCGCAATCGTGGTTTTAATCGTAGATATAAAAAAGAAAGAAAGATATAAAAGATTATGTTTAAGATTTGATTCTCATCTTACTGTTTCCTTTACTAAGAAAGGGGTATAAACACTGACTAGCTAACGACAAACGTCATGAACTTATTTGCAATATTGATTCGTTACGTGACTCATGCCTATAGAAATTTCTTTGTTGCCATCGAGCTATTCATTTCTACGTAAACTATTAACTTTGCGGTAAACGAATCCTCGAAGAGAATATGATACGAAGGAACCATCGTAAACGAAACAAGCGTATCTCCTTTTCACGTTGACCATATATACAAAGAAAGCGTTGATTAATCTCGGAAGAAGATTAAATCGCAGTTGATATTTTCCTTAAAGATGAGTTTCAATCTCAAGAAAGTAATGAAATCTTAAAACAGAATTTACGCCATTTCATATTTTTATAAACATAACTAAACAAAATCTAAATAGAGGTGCGTTCCATCTTTTAAATACTATAACGGCTTCTATACTTTGAATATTTTATATAGGGTGGTTGGTAATTGATGGTACAAGCGGAAAGGGGGTGATTCTACGCGAAAAAAGAAGTCGAAAATATAGAATAAAAATTTTTCGTTCGAGGCTTTGTTTTCGAGAAAATCGACTTTGAATTTTGGCTCGGTACGCGTGCACCTTATCACGTCTCGTTATAACGGATCTCACTGTGGATCGTTGTCTCGATGGGAAAATTAAAAAAAAGAAAAAAGAAATTTTATTCTATATTTTCGACTTCTTTTTTTCCGTAGAATC